AATAAATTAATATAGGTAGTAGGTAATAATAGAATATATATATATATATATATATATATATATAGCTATGTATATTTAGATATATATTCAATATATATATATATATATATATACGTATGCGCTGGTATGTATGTATCAATACACATTCGTGAGAACATGGTGTCTTGAATATGTATGTAGGAGTACTTGATGATATAAATATGTACATTTGATCGTATATATTGTACTGTACTCGCGTGTACGTATTAACACACATATAATGACATACGAGTACCTTGTATTATCGGAAGAATCGTCGGCCTTTCGCTTCGCGGGCTTAAGCTTTTTCTCCTCATCACTATCACTATCACTGTCACTACCGCTGTCACTGTCACTGTCGCTATCACTTGAGCTCTCGCTTTCTTTAGTAGCCTTCTTCTCGGTTTTCGCCGGCTTTGTTTCCTTCGTCTTCTTATCATCCTCAGCATCGCTTGAATCAGAATCGCTCGAGCCCGAGTCTGAGTCTGATCCAGAATCTGAATCTGAACTCTCTGAGCTTGACTCCTTCTTCTCTACCTTCTTGTCGTCTACCTTTTCCTCCTCTTTCTCATCCGAATCCGAATCCGAATCCGAGCTTGACCCACTGCCGCTATCACTATCACTATCACTCTTGCTATCAGATGCTTTAGCTTTAGCATCTACTTTTGAGACCATTACTTCCTTCTTTTTGTCATCTTTCTTCTCCTTATCGTCTGAATCGGAATCCGAATCGGAATCCGAATCCGAACCTGAAGCATCGGAATCAGGTTTCTCAGCTTTCATAGCCTGCGCGCCTTCCTTTACTTTTTTATCATCGCTGTCACCGTCACTGTCACTGTCACTACCACTGTCACTAGAGTCACTGCTGCTCTTGTTGTCAGCAGAAGATTCCTCCACAGTACTCTTGAGTAGGTTGACAAGTTCATCTTTATCCGCATGTGTAGATGTCTTCGCTTCCTTGGTAAAAGCAACCAGAGCCTTCTTGAACCCTTTGTCCTGCAAGAATCCTGCTATCAGCACAAGCACACGTTGCTCATCCATGCTTAACTGTATGAATACTAGCGGTATATTATATCCTACACAGTAATAGATATCAGCTAGAAGCAATTGTGGGACTTCGATTCATGCCGGTGACGGAGGTTATCTTTTTTTCAACCAGTACATAGTAGAGAGATGTCCTTACACATTGGTATTGACAAGTTTTACAAATACTTGTGTACACGTGTGACCCAAATCATTTGCCCCAGGTGCAGATATGACCAAACTCTATTTATTTATTTTTTAAAATTGTAAAGTTCCTCTCACACAGGCAGGGGGAAGAAAATACTCAAAACAGAACAGATTAGGATGACGTATTCTTTAGTCATCAATGCCTGCTCTTTAAAGCTACAAAGCCACAAACCGTTATACGTTTTATTGAACCATTGTGCATTCGATCTGTTTATTTTTTATATGCGTTAAAAAACTGTTGTGAAGAAATATTTATGAGATTAGACGGGCACGGCAAACGTGTCCGTCAGCCTACGCAGTATTCTACACATCCATTGTGAGTAACCTACAATACATGGTCCGAGTACGTATGTAGTTAGTTTATTAATATATATAAGAACATTCCGTTTCTACTGTGTTTTACACTCTATATATTGCTTGCCTCGACGTGAAAAGAAATAGTTAAACTTCAACGACCTGCCATCACAATGGATACCAAAGAGGACGTCCCACGCACATGCTCGGTCTGTACACGGGTGACCACAGAGGTGTTGAAGATCGATGAGAACAAGTACACATGCGCAGACTGCATCCTTGCTCATCGTACGTGTGCATAGTTTGTGACACCCGGGGATAGGATACCTGTGTATGATGTCGGATATGTAGTACAAGCATGTATTTCAGAATACCAGGACGTGTTGAAGGTCGATGGCAACAAGTATACATGTCCAAACTGCACCCTCGCTCATCACCTTACCGGACATGTGCGTAGATTTCTAAATACCGCTGTCTATACACATTTATATCTAAATCACATATATGATGCGAAGAAGCGTACAGTCGGATGTATAATACAACGGTGTGCTATAGATCTGTTACCAAGTACACAGTGACGCGTATGCCGCTAACACCGGAGTTTGAACACGTATGTATACCGTCGATTACGCAATAGAAGCGGGCGTGTAATCTCGATGAGAGCAAGTATATATGTTCATACTGCATCCTCGGTCAACGTATGTGGACAAAGACTACCGGTGTTTGTAATTTGGATATATAATAAGTCGTGTTGCGAGCTCCTTCATGGTAGGTGGATTATGAGGAATTGTATTTAGTATGGACCTTCGTTCGCATGAAGTCTTTTACAGTCAACTGCTAAGATCTGCTCACCACTTCCAGCTTGACTATCATACTGACAAGCACGCCAGTCAGAGAATGGCTCGACTATACGAACCCACTTGTCCAAGTGCGAGTAGGGACGGATCTTGTTGAACTGCGCATTCAACTTCCAGGTAGCTCTGAACAAGCTAGTGTGTATAAAAAATTAAACCTCGTGACATCCGCTTTCAAATAGAAAAGAGTGCCCATTACATAATACTAAATAAACAGACACATATAGACTATAATGATGGATTTCACTTCACGTACTCAACACTCTGCCGGAAGATCAGTAGATCAATATACACAGTAGATCAGTATACATGCCGATCTATTTTTATCAAATATGCAG